GGGAATGTTGAGGTGTGGTATAAGAAAAGGAAGGGTTTTAAAAGGAGAGGACTTGTTTCAAAAAGAAATTTTTCTTTGTTTCTTGCGTTTAAAATTTTTTTATTCCTGGCGGAAAAACTTTGTTCCTTGTACCTCATGTTTCTATTCAGTACTTTTCTTTTCGGTCGATATAATAATTGGCAAAGCACTGTTTGCCAAAAAAAGAGTTGCCGGTGTCGGTATATTTATATCGACCTTAGCTAGTAATTAGTAGTTGGGAAGGAGCTTACTCGTGAACCAAGGTTCACGGGCCATCAGGCATGCCTCGCTTAGCCTGTTACAGGTCAAAGGACCCTTAACTTGCTTATAAACCTAGTATTTAGCTAGTACACGTGACTCCTTCTTATTGTATAAAAAAAGTCAGCTCTCTTAAAGCAAGAAATCATCCGAATCAATAAGCAACAATTGAGTATTTTACCACCGAGTGATTTGCAATTGCAAATACTTTGACGACGTTACGACTTTTACGAATATATTACGAGAGATCGCTACCGGCGATCCAACAGTAGTTCATTTATTCGAAGTGAATTCACTTGCGTTATTTAATTTGAATACCTTTATATTAAAGCTAGGTTTTTGATCGAATTGAGTTGTAATCATATTATAAAATTCAACTAATCGATCGAATACGTCAGCTTTAAATTTTAAAGCGTATAGCCAAATGGCTCTAGAACCTCTGCACGTGAAAGTAACGAAAAATCGTTCCCCTAATAAGCCTTTAGTTTTAAAAGGCCTTGCTATATCTATATCGGAAGCAGTTAAAGGGAGTGAGTCTGACATAGGCTTTTTACTATTCATTTGAGTAATTTTGCTACTTACGCAAGACTCACAATGTTCAAGATTTTGTTTAAAATCAATAGCTTTAAAAAGACCTTCGCTATTATCGATTGTTTTTAAAACAAAATCCTTATTTACGTTCAATAAGCGCTTATGATAAAGGCTTAATTTAGTAGTTACAAAAGAATCTACCTTGAATAATAGAGGTTCTAGGTATTTCTTATTAATTTCGACCTCTGTAAAATAAGCGTTATTAGCCTATTTTACGTTAATATAAGGTTTGAAAGAAGCGTGAGATATTTTAGCTCCATTTCGATCGAAATTAATAGCCCAGTCCTTATTTGTAAGCTCTTTTGAACTTATTAAGGTCGTTTTTAGCTTAAGAATATAATTGACGTTTTTCATTATAATCTCTAAGCCTATTTCCGACCTGATTAAGATATCACCTATGCTTAAAATATGCATAATATCGCTATTAGCGATAATTATAGACTTCTCAGCAGCTATTGGTTTATAATTTATAAACCAAGCCTTATTAAGCGAATAGTGCTCTAAGGCTCTTGAATCTAATACGAATTCATTATTATTCGTAAAAGAATAAGCTATGCCAAAGTGATTTAATTCACTATTAGCAATAAAGCTAGAATTATTAAAAGCACTCATTAGTGCTTTACTAGAGCCATTCTTGAAGTCTTCATCCTTAGCCGATTTAGCCTTATTATTTTTAAGCTTTTTATTAAAGTTCGGCTTTAGTTCGGGGTGCAACTTAAAACAAGTTGAATTTAAGTGCCCCTTTTGCTTATAATGCGAGCAATATTTAGCGTTATTATTATTAAACGCTTTATTTGCTTTTAAATCCGCGCTAGTACCCATTCGAGCCTCTTCTGATAATAAATCAGAAATAAGCGAATCGATATCTACTTCTTTAAGGTTATTAGATATTTCCTCAAATTTTCTAAAGGCGAAGCTATTAAAAGAGCTAAGTAAACCCTTAAATATAAGGCTAGCTAATACTGGCTTGGGAATTTCGCAATTCATCTCTTTAAGATAAATTGCACTAGATTGAATAATACTAGTATATTCATTTATATTTTTACAAAAGCTATAAGTTGTTTCGACTATTTTATATACGTGTCGATTTACTTCTTCTAGCCTTGTATCGCTATAAGTCTTATTTATAGCGTCATATAAATCTTCAGCGCTAGTTTTACCTTTAAATCGCTTTTGATTTTCAAGCGATATAATAGATTTTAACGCTCTTAAAGCCTTTTTATTAGCTTCTTCGAATTCGCTTAATTTATCAAGATATTTTACGGCTAGCTCAGGTGAATAAGAGGTCTAAGTAATAGCCCTTTTATTATTCTTAGCTTTAGAATAATAAAGCTCTTTATTAGGTTTTTTTTAGAGCCATCAATATAAGACATATAGCTATTAATATTTAAATAGAGATTTGCGGGAGTAATCCATTCTTGGTAATTTGATTTACCAATTAATTTATCTCCTTTAAAAGAGCTAGCTATCTTGATTGCGGATTTTTAATAGAAATATATTCTATTAATATATATATTAATATATATATTTATATATAAATATATTTATTATTCTATTAACTAGCTTGCAAACTAGTCTTATAATAGAGAATAGAACCTTTGGCCTAGTGCAGCAATAAAACTCTACGCCGGAAGTTATTATTATTACCGAAGTTTTCGCTTAATTAAATTTATAAAAGAGATTTTCAGTTTTCTTAGAGAACTCGTTTATAAATCAATCAAACTACTAATTTCAGCTCGCTTAGTATTATTGATTTTCGGACTAATCGTTATTCCTTCTTCGAGGATGGCTTCTTAATAGCGATATAGCCGAAAATCAATAAGCTAGTATAAATTAAGATCAGTCTAATAGCCACTCCTTACCGCTAGCCACAATAAGAGGTTCAATACTTATATTGCCGCGTAAGTTTGGGCACCTTAGTATAAGAAACTAAGTAATAGTGCTTAAACCGTAGTTTAAAGCCGCAATTTGCTCTCTTATTACTTTTAGAGGTACTAGCTTATGCTTTCGCTAGTACTTAGTCTCAAGGACTCGGGCTTTAATGATTAGGTACAAATCTTAATTGGTTAATAAGGCCTAAAGGAGTATAGCTTACTTTTTTAAGCAAAATACTAGCTTTTCTCTTGCGAAAGCTAGAACAAAAGCGGAAGCTTATAGCTTATAAGGCTCGCTTTTGTAATCGACCTTATAAGTGAATCGGAAGGACGTTATTCCGCCTCGAGCTTAGCAGAATCAAAGGTTTTAGCGTAAGGTTGCTTAAAGTTTCGCTAAAAAATTTCGTCGAAGGTTCTCGAAGAGTTGGCGAAAAGGTTTTGTGCTAAGCGAGAATTTGATGCTTAAGGTTAAGAGATTTGTGCTAAGCGAAAAGTTGATGCTTGAAGTGTCGAAATTGAATTGCTATTATATGAAATTTGAATAAGGAATTAGGGTGAGGAAAAGACGAGTCCAAATTGCTTTGCTTGCTTGCTTGCTTGCTTGAAGTAAATACAAGAGACCTTTCAAGGTCTTATATAGACTATTAAGTAGTTCTAGAGCCTTTTATATGACTTATAGAATACGTAATAGTATTACAAATCAAAATCAGGTAGAATGTTCCTGAAGGTTCTGATAGGTCACTTGACCTCGCTTAGAAAGTTCTAGAAGTGCTGATTACAAATCAACACCTTAAAGTATTTTAGAAGTGCTGATTACAAATCAACACCTTAGAGTATTCTAGAAGTGTTGATTACAAATCAACACCTTAGAATATTCTAGGCAAAGTAATGATTATAATCAACATATTTCTCGTACTTCTCTTTGCTTCTCTTATTACCTCACCGCCGCCACTACCTTACCGCCGCTACTACTTTACTACCGCCATTACCTCACCGCCGCCACTACCTTACCGCCGCTACTACTTTACTACCGCCATTACCTCACCGCCGCCACTACTTTACCGCCGCCACTTCCTCACCCACCTTTATTACCTCACCGCCGCTACTACCTCATTGCCGCTACTATCTCACCTACCTTTATTACCTCACCGCCGCTACTACCTTACCGCCGCTACTATTTGCTGGAAGCGATACTAGAGGCAAGGCAATACCAGTGGCAGCGCTGGTGGCGATATTGGTAGCGATACTGGAGGCGATACTAGTGGCGATACTAGTGGCGATACTAGAGGCGATACTGGTGGCAAGGCAACGCTGGTAGCGATACTGGTGGCGATACTGGTAGCGATACTGGTAGCAAAGCAATGCTAGAGGCG